CCCCAAAACCCCAAAACCCCAAAACCCCAAAACCCCATTTCATTAATTCCCTATTGAAATAAGAATGTGAGTAAATCTTTTCAAGATTAATAGTAAGTGTTTTGAGCAACCCAGCCTCTTATTCTTCCTGTATCCTTGTCAATACCTGCTCTGAGCAGACTCTTTCTTCCTTCATCGTAGAAGAAGATGACAGTGAAGAATGGGAAGGAAGGTACACCGAAGTGTGGACTAGCGAGCATTCTTGTTCCTAAGGCAATGTTCAGCCATGGGACATAACACAAGATAGCTACGAGGACAGTCTCAAAGATAAGTCCAAAGTTGGCAAAATTGTTCTTCATTCCTTGTTGAGAAATTGAGAGACTTCTAGTCTTACAGATCATCAAATCAGCCCATTGTACAACAACAATAGAGACAAGGTAAGCACACTGAGCATATCTGAGAGCTTGAGATCTCCAGCAGATTTCTTTTTCATCATCAACAATGTTCTTTCTCCACCACTTAGGAGCATCTGAGTCCCATCTGCATTCAGACCAGTGGTGTGGGCCAATATTATGGAAGTAAAGTCTCAAATCAACATCATTATCATCATTAGAATTGAAGTCAAACTCTTCATATTTATTGGTATCGACTGCAGTGTTTCCTCTTATAGTTGTCGTAGTTGTTCCATCAGATGGAGTATACACATCGAAGTTATTTGGGAGAGTACCCTTCTCAGTTACAAGTCCGAATAGAGTGCCTGGCTTAAATCCGTAATCATGCATGACAATGAAATGAGTGTAGAATCCTGCAGAGGCCTGAATAATTCCAATCTGAAGATATGAGAAAGAAATCAACTTAGTGTTCACCAAATGATCTCTCTTCGCACTTCTCGGATGTCTAAGCATAATATCTAATTCTGGGTTCTCGTAGGCAAATGAAATAGCTGGGATCATATCAGTTCCGAGATCAATACACAAGATCATGACAGTCGTTAGTGGCAATGGCATCTGGGCAAGGATGAACATAATAAATGGAGCAATTTCTGGGATGTTAGAAGAAAGAGTGTATGCAATAGATTTTTTGAGATTATCAAAGATAAGTCTTCCTTCTTCAACACCGTTAACAATAGAACTGAAATCATCATCCAAAATGATCATATCTGCAGCATTCTTAGCAACATCTGACCCACTTCCCATAGCAATACCGATATTGGCTTTCTTGATGGCTGGTGAATCGTTAACACCATCACCAGTTACAGCAACAACATGTCCAGCTCTTTGACAAGCATCAACAATAATAAGTTTCTGAGAAGGTGTTGTTCTGGCAAACACTACTTCTCTCTTTGAAATCCAGTTCAAGAGGAATCTTCCTTTTTCTGGGTCATTTTCATTGTACTGTTCTTGTTGAGCATGTCTCCTAGCAAGTTCGTCTCCATGAATGACTAATGCGTCACACTCTTCAAAGGCTTTCTCAGGGTCCATTCCCTCTTCAATCATGTCTACGTTGACTTTGGCACCTCTCGAAATGATGTTGACTTTCTTGGCAATGGCTGCGGCTGTCACAGGCTGGTCTCCAGTAACCATGATGACTTTGATTCCGGCTTTTCTGCACTTATCCACTGAGTGATCGACATACACTCTAGGAGGATCGTTCAAAGCCACAAGTCCGACAAAGGTCAAGTTCTCCATGGGGTAGTTCTTGAGTTCTTCCTTCATAACAAACTGGGAGCCGCTCTTGTACTCTTTCTCATTCAAGTAAATATTAGCAAAGGCAAGGACTCTCTCACCGTTCTTTCCGAGAGTGGCGTTGGCTTCTTCGAAACGTTTATCCCAGTATTCGTTGATTTCTCTGACTTCACCATTGACGAGGATTTTGTTGCATCTTCCCCAGATTCTTTCTGGAGCACCCTTCATGATGAGGAGGAAGCTGTTGCCGCTCTTTTCGTTTTTGAGGTCTCTGATCATTAAATTATACTTCTTAAAAGAGTTGAATGGAATCTCACAAGTAACAGTAACTTCTTCTCCAGATTTCTCTTTCAGCTTGTATGAATGAACTGGGAATTCATGTCTGTAATTTTCAATGTCCTTAATTGGTTGCACAAACTTAATCAATCCACTCTCAGAAGCATCTCCTTCAGTTTGTCTTACTTGGAATGGTTTCTCCAATTCTTCTTGCTTTAAATCACGTTCGGCCTCATCTTTATTCTCTTCGTATTCATCATTTGAAAGCTTCTTTGGGTTCTTTCCAAGTTTCTTACCAATCTTTCTTTTGATTGTTTCTTCAGTTGGAGTGTATTCAAAGAAGGCTTTAGTACCAAGTATCACAGTCCTGATCAGCTCGTTACAAGTAGCATCATCTGGGTTATAATCAATTTCGACTTCTCCCTTTGATTGCTTATAGGTTTGGTAGTTCACTGAAGCATCTCTGAGTTCTCCTGAGTACCAGAGAGAGGATACAGTCATGACATTTTGAGTCAAAGTTCCTGTTTTATCTGAGCAAATACAAGAAGTAGATCCGAGTGTTTCTACTGATTCCAAGTTCTTTACAAGTACCTTCTTTCCAGCCATTCTCTTTGCTGTCAAAGCAAGAGACACAGTTACAGTAGCAAGAAGTCCTTCTGGGACATTAGCGACGATGATTCCAATAGCAAACACAAGATTAGTAATGATATCGTATCCATAGATGATACCTAAGATAAAGAAGGAAATTCCTAGTACTATAGCAACAGCAGAAATGATTTTAATGAATCTATCAATTTCAGTTGAAAGAGGAGTCTCACTAGTTTGAGCTGACTGAGCAAGGTTTGCAATCTGACCAATAACAGTTCTATCTCCTGTGTTGATGACAACACCAACTCCATTTCCGAAAGTGCATGAAGTACCGAAGAATGCAAGGTTTGCGGTCTCAAGGGGATTATCTGCAGTATGTTCAACTTTTCTAAGTAAATCATCTGATTCTCCAGTAAGAGATGCATTGTTGACTTTCATCTCGTGACATTCGACAACTCTGATATCAGCTGGGATATTCTCTCCTCCCTTAACTTTAATAACGTCTCCAGGTACAAGTTTAGAAGCTTCAATTGAGCTTTCAGCTCCATCTCTGATTACCAAAGCTTTTGGAGGGATGAAGTTTTTGAACTGAGCCATCAGTGCAGCTGACTTTGATGACTGATAATATGAGAAGCATCCAGTAACAAATGTTACTACAGCAAGTACAATACCAAGATACAGGTTACTTGGATCACTTGAGTCAATGGCATATCCAATGAAACAAAGGATAGCTCCAAACCATAAGAGCAAAGAAAAGAATCCAGTCATCTCTTCCAAGAAAGCTAAGTACCATGGGATGGCTTTCTTTTCTGTCAATGCATTTGGTCCAATTGTCTCTAACTTGACCGTTGCTTGATCCTTAGTAAGTCCCTTAACTATAAAAATTTCATTCTGTTGACCGATGTTTTACTTACGTTCAATAATGCGTGTTTCAAGACTCTCTTCAAGTTGATTCATATTCATCTTGTGATAGGTCATATTTCTGATTTCTTCATTTCCTTTGACAGCGTTGTCAAACTCGTCTTTATTACTCTTCTTCTTTCCCTTATCCATCTCCGCCAGTTTGATTTGCTGAGACTCTTCAAACTTTTGGCTAAAAATACGTTATTCAAGTCCAAAGAGATTAACAGCTTTTATGCAGCCATTTATCAGCCTAGTGTATACTTACTTGTATGTAGAAAGGAATATTCTTGAGGCTTCGGTCAATCCAGGTTGTGGTGGCATCTTCTTTTAAACCCTTCGTTTTAAATTATAATTGAAATAAAAAATATTCAGTATTTATAGTGTGGAAAGGGGTTTTGGGGTTTTGGGGTTTTGGGGTTTTGGGGTTTTGGGGTTTTGGGG